GGCCGTCTGTATCTGTGGGTTCCACATCCTCTGATTCATTCAACTGTGGATTGAAAATATTTAGAAAAAAATGAAATATAACAGTAAAAATAATTCCAATTCAAAAATAACACAGTGTAACAACCATTTACATAGCATTTACATTGCACTGGGTATTATAAGTAATCTAGAGATGATTTAAAGTATAAGGGAGGTTAGGCTTAGGTTATATGCAAAAACTAAGCCATTTTTTAAGAAGAAACTTGAGCATTCTCAGATTTTGGTATACAGGGAGGGTCCTGGAACCAATTCCTCATGGATGCCGAGGGATGACTATACATTATTATGAACGTAGTCACCATGCTGTACAATTGATCTCCAGTAGTTATTCCTCCGCCTAACTGAAACTTTGTACTTTTTTCTGAGACAGGGTCTAGTTCTGGCTGGAGTGCAGTAGTGTGATCACAGCTCACTGCTACCTTCTCAGGCTCAATCCATCCTCCCACCTGAGTCTCTGGAGTAGCTGGGACTACTGGCATGTGCCATCATGCCTGGCTAATTTTTGTATTTTTTGTAAAGACAGGGTTTCACCATGCTGCCCAGCTGGTCTTGAACTCCTGGGCTCAACGAATCCACCTACCTCAGCCTCCCAAAGTGGTGGGATTACAGGCATGAGCCACCACACCATGCCCTTCTTTGTACCTTTTGACCAACATCTTCTCATTCCTCCTTGTCCCCCTCCCTACTACCCCCACTTCCCCACTTGCCATGATTTTGACTTTTTTAGATTCCACATGTCAGTGAGGTCATGTGGTATTTGTCTTTCTGTGCCTGGCTTATTTCACTTAACATAATGTCCCCCAGGTTCATCCATGTTGTAAATAATGTAAAAGATTTCCTTCTTTTACAAGGCTACATAGTATTCCATTGCATGCATAGACCACAGTTTCTTTTTCCACTCATCTGCTGATGGACACTTAGGTTGATTCCATCTCTTGGCCATTGTGAGTAGTGCTGCAATGAACATTGGAGGGCAGATAGCTCTTTGATACACTGATTTCATTTTCTTTGTCGATGTACCCAGGAGTGGAATTGCTGGATCATGTGGTAGTTCTATTTTAAATTTTTAAATAGACGATGAATTTTTAAAAACATTTATTTGGGCCGGGTGCTCCAGGTGCAGTGGCTCATGCCTGTAATCCCAGCACTTTGGGAGGCCAAGGAGGGTGGATCATGAAGTCAGGAGTTCAAAACCAGTCTGGTCAACATGGTGAAACTTTGTGTCTACTAAAAATACAAAAATTAACCCGGCATGGTGGCACACATCTGTAGTCTCAGCTACTCAGAAGGCTAAGGTGGGAGAATTACTTGAACCCAGGAGGCAGAGGTTGCAGTGAGCCAAGACCACGCCATTGCACTCCAGCCTGGGTGACAGAGTGAGACTCCATCTCAAAACACACACACACACACACACACACTCTCTTTTTTGTTTTCTTCCACATGAATATATATGTATTCCCAGGGACTAGACACCGTTTCTGTTGTGGATGCTATTCTGTTCTACCTAAACTCCCCTCTTTGGGACTGAAGGATTTATTATCTCATTGCTGGGAATGTTGCTGGCTGACTGCCCTCAGCTGTCAGTCATCCCCTGGAATTCCCTTAGGTGATGAAAGCTTCCTCATTGAATTTTACTCCACTACCCAGGAAGAACCCACCTATAATGACTGGTCAGTGTCGGGGTATAAAGATCCTAAACCCCTTCCCTAATTTGGGCCAACTCCAAAGCCCTCTTACAGCTTCAGAACTCCCTGGGGATTAGTCTGAAGACTTTTTGTGACTGAATGATAGTCCAATTTCTAAAACCCTGTTTTAATTCATGAACCATCTTACATAATGGTTTTTTTTTGTTTTTTGTTTTTTGTTTTTGAGATGGAGTTTCACTCTTGTCACGTAGTCTCACTCTGTCACCTGGGCTGGAGTGCAGTGGCGCAATCTCAGCTCACTGCAACCTCCACCTCCCAGGTTCAAGCGATTCTCCTGCCTCAGCCTCCCAAGTAACTGGGATTATAGGCGTCCACCACCATGCCCAGCTAATTTTTTGTATTTTTAGTAAAGAAGGGGTTTCACCATGTTGGCCAGGATGGTCTCAAACTCCAGACCTCAGGCGGTCCGCCCGCCTGGGCCTCCCAAAGTGCTGGGATTACAGGCGTGAGCCACTGCGCCTGGCCAAATATCATGTTTTAATAGCCCAGCTTTAACAATGCTCAATTCATGGGCAATTTTGTAAACCCACCCAATTAATCATACTTGCACACTGGGTTGTTTTGAAGATACTTTCAGATATCATATTTCATTCATGATTATTTTATTATGAAAATCTAAAGCATAGTGACTTTTTAGAAACATAACAGCAATGCCATTACCACACTAAAATTAGAGAATACTTTAATACTGTCAGTGTCAATTTTTCTGATTGCCTCATGTAAATTTGGTTCATATATTTTTTCAGCCTTTTAAAAATGTATAGCTTTTCTTCTCTCTCTCTCTTTGAATTGTTGCTGAAGAAATGCAGTTGTTTATCTAGAAGTTCCCATATTCTGGATCTTGTTGGTTGCATCCCTGTGGTGTTATTCACCATGGGATTTGTTAGTTGGACTCCAGAAAATAACAATAACACCAGTTGTTAACACCTATTGACTACTTACTATGTGCCAGTCTGTGCATGAAGTGGTTCATTTGTAATAAAATATTTAATTCTTCAACGCTCTAGTTTGTATGTGGTAAGTACAAGCCTGAAATATTTCATGTGATTTTTAGAATTTTGTAAATTTTATTTATTATTTATTTTTAGAGATGGGGTCTTGCTCTGTTGCCTGGGCTGGAGTGAGCGCAGTGGCACAATCCCAGCCCACTGAAGTCTTGAACTCCTGGGCTCAAGCACTCCTCTCACATCAGCCTCCAGAGTAGCTGGGACAGGAGCACCACCATGAGCTTATTTATTTATTTATTTATTTTTGAGAGTTAATTTTTTTTTCTTTTTCTTTTTTATTTTTAGTAGAGATGGGGTTTCTCCATGTTGGTCAGGCTGGTCTCAAACTCCCAACCTCAGGTGATCCATCCGCCTCAGCCTCCCAAAGTGCTGGGATTACAGGTGTGAGCCACCACACTGGGCCAACTAATTTATTTTTAATTACAAATAAATAAATTTTTTTTAATTTGCCCAGGCAGCTGTTGAACTCCTGGCTTCAAGCAATTCTCCCTCATTGGCCTCCGAAGTGCTAAGATCACAGGCATGAGTCTCTGTGACCCCCTAATTTTGTAAATTTTAAACAGTGTGATATTAAATATTAATGAAGTCATACTTTATGTATGTAATCTGAAATAATTCAAACAACTCAAATAAGGTTTTAAGAATCGCATGATTTAAAATCATGCAGGTGGATTGGTAACCCTATTTACAGTAATGTCAATAATGACTCTTTTTTTAGCTGATAGAAAGAAATATTTACTCTTATTTTTTAGAATTAGTTTTAATTCTGCTATTTTAACATGACATACTCATTTTTTGAATACATACTTTTAACAAAATGCAACTATCATTTTATTAAAAGCTTTCCACAATACTTCTTGAGGAAGAAGGCTGAGTTGTGCAGCATTTGTAGATTTCTGCACGACTCTGATCATTATGCCATTCAGTGTAACCCTTATATTACACACACACACAGACACATACACATGCACACAAAAGCACACAACCCCAAAATACTGGGTTCTTGCCTCACGAATCATTGAAATTTATATGCAATTTATTTGAAAACCTATTGCTATAAATTTCTTAGCACATTTGTGCATTTTAATGTGACTATTTTTCAAACTAAAATTTTTATTTTATATATTTGGGATCATAATTAGTTACCTTTTCTTTTCCTTTTTAAAAATAGACTTTATTTTGAAGCAGTTGTAGGTTCACAGAAAAACTGAGCAGAAGGTACAGAGATACCCCAGAGGTCCCCAAACCCCCGGCCATGGACCGGTACCAGTTGGTGGCCTGTTAGAAACAGCCACGTAGTGGGTGAGCCAGCATTACCAACTGAGCCCGGCCTTCTGTCAGATCAGTGGTGGCATTAGATTCTCATAGGAGCGCGAACCCTATTGTTAACTGTGCATGCAAGAGACCCAAGTTGCATGTTCCTTTAGAGAATCTAACTAATGCTTGTTGGTCTGAGGTGGAACAGTTTCACAGTTTCATCCCCAAATCACACCCACATTCCCCCCACGATCTGTGGAAAAATTGTCTTCCATAAAACTGGTCCCTGGTGCCAAAAAAAAAGGCTAGGGACTGCTGCCAGACACACTCTGCTCCCACACATGCATAGCCTCCCCCATTAGCAACGTTTCCCACCCGAGTGGTACATTTGCTATAATTTATGAACTTACACAGGCACATCATTATCACCCAAAGTCCACAGTTTATATTAAGTCTCACTCTTGGTGTTGTACATTCTGTGGATTTGGGCAAATGCATAATGACATTTTTCACCATTGTGGTATCAAATAGAGTAGTTTCATTGCCCTAAAAATCCTCTGTGCTCACATTTTCATGATCATCACTGGTTCCGACTCCCTGTGCTTACTGATTCCCAGCCTGCATTTTAAATCATTTTCTCCTTGAACTTTCTTCTCCTCCCCAAAGTAAACATGCATTAACATCTGTTGCACATGAAATACCTTGAATAAACACTTATGGGCTGTAAGGAGGGAATATATCCCTTCTTAGAGAGTTGAAAACCAAAATCAAATACTACAATTTCTCGTCCTAAGAGTTCTCTTAGCAATCGATCTCAGCCTCTCTCATTCTGGAGAAAAAAATACCCTCCAATGATCATATGAAAAGAAATTCATTCATAGCTCTACATTTGTATCTCCTAAATCATTAAGGGACTGAGAAAAACAAAAGTACTTTTCATATAACGTGATCCATTCTTTTAAATAAATTAATTATAAATATAACCACCATGTTTTCTTGTGTATTTATATACTATATGTAAGGCATTGACTATATATCAAGATTATTCAAATTCCATCAATAACTCTGTGAGGAAATTATTATCATTCCTACATTGTAGATGAGAAAAATAAGGCCAGAAATGTTAGCTACTTTACCCATTTATAAAGTTTAAAATACTAGCTTCAAAGTGCTGAGTCCTGGATTTGGATTTAGGGTTCTTTGTACCAAACTACACTGTATCAATTACTGCGTTAATGTTTTGGTTTTTTTTCTCCAATTAAAATTTAAACTCACTGATGCAGGTAGCGCAGTTAGAAATATCCTCACAGATTTCATAGTTGTTTAGAGCCATGAGGTCACTGCTGACCCATTTCCTCTGCAAGAGTTTCTGCCAGGAGACAGCCAACACAGTGGAGGACACAGCACCCACAGCTGCTGCTACACTGTCTCAACTGTGTTGTTCCTCCTAGGGTATGTCTCATAAGCTAGTGCTTTCCTTAGCCAGGAGGGGTGAGGTGAAAGGGCTGAGGATTTCTGAAGATATTGGCATTGTTTTTTTATCGGCATGCTTTCTAGAAACATCCTGCAGCCATATCTATTATACTGTCTCCTTCATGCCAGGGTGGCACAGGGAAAGCTACATGGTTATCTAGCAAAGCTTCATTCAGGAGGTGAGGCAGACTGCGCCTCTATTCTAGGGCTCCTAGATATGTCTGCAGCTTCTACTCCCATCCTTTTTCCCCATTGTCACTAACCCTATGTGAGGAATAAGTACTTGTTCCTTTTCAGATACCCACATTATCGTCTTATTCTAATGTTTTTCTGACTTCCATTTCTTTTCCTGCCTAAGGAATTTTTATTCCCTCAAGATGAGGAGGGCAGAGGAAGCTTTCTACTGTCATCATTCTTCACAAACTTAAAGTTTTGAGAATAAATTTTCACTATTGATATTTTTGAGATTCAAAGTTCCTTTATCCTAACCTATTTCTCTGTCATACTTTCCAAAGTCATATTGAAATTAGTACAGACTTACTTTTTGATTTTAAAATTTTTGCTGTAACAATTCTGAGCCAAAGGCAGAGGATATCTATTAACTTCATTGTTGCCTTAATTGAAGGGTGGGTGGCAGTGCCAAGGGTGGGAACACAAGGAAGAAAGAAATATTAATGTCAGCTAAGAAATCAACATATTATCAGGCTATAATGTACTTGGTTGCTTCTGTGTTACTGGACATGACAAATGGTCTGGGAAATGAGGTTAAATTGGCTTGAAACATAAGAGCCTCCCAATTCTTAGACATAGTTTCAGTCAGCCCTGGATGAAAAATGGAAAAATTTGACATAGGTCTCATAAAGGGAATGTGTTGCTTCCATGGAGATTATAGATGGAGGTTACTGAGGAATTAGGTAGCTGGGTGGCTTACCCCAGGCATCTCTTAGTAGGTAACACTTGAGAAAAGAAAAAATCAGGAAGTCAGGGAAAGAATTCAAAGGCATTTATGAGCTCTGAGCGGATATAGCAATTTAAGGCCCACAGAAGAGGTGAGAGGAGAAATATTTGGAGGAAAAAAGGAATATGATACATTGGGCCAGAAAATAATGCTAGGTCATGTAGCAAGTCCACTCTTCTGCTCCTGTAGATGGGGATGCACCTGCAACAGGACAGACATGAGATCGGTGGGTGCTAGGCCGCTTCTATGTCATCATCATACCACTTCCCAATTCCCCTACAACTTTCAACCATTCATGTCCACAGCCTCCTCCCACTTTCCTTCCTCTCATACTGAGGCTTCAGCTCTAACAAGTCTCAATGCTTACCTTCCCTTCCAGGATGGGATTCACAAGGGCCCTTGGTGTCTGGAGGCACCAACTGAACGCAGGCCTCGGATGATCAAGACGGTCCCCACCACAATGCCCACGAGGCCCATAGACAACCCCAGGGCGCAGACCACAGTCTCTGTGAGCTCTGACATGGGTGCTGGAATCTCCGGCTCTGTGGAAGTGAAGTTGTTGAGGTGAGAAAGCAGAGTGTGCTCGTGTGCACGTGTGTGGGATGGCATGGGGTGGAGGGTTGGCTCTGCAAAGACTCAAGGCCCCCAGCTTAGGGAGGAGAGTGAAGTCTATCATTAGAAATCCATGAAGTGGCAGGCCTGCTCCCACCCTGTGGAGTGTACTTTCATTTTTAATACATCTCCACTTTTGTTGCTTTATTCTTTCAAGAAAAAGATAAAAGAGACTAATGAAGGGTGGAAAACAAGTTTTGGGTTATAAGAGTAAAAGGCAGGAATTTCTGAACTTGACAGACAAGAAAGCATCAAAAAACGGTGGAACTCATCCTTACCCCAGTGTTTCAGAAGAGGCTCATCCAGGCCCCAGTGCTCCACCCTGCAGTCATAAATCTCATCAGCAGAAGGGAGGAAGGTGAGGTAACTGATCTTGAAGAAGGAATGATCACTCTTGGAGAGGAAGCTGGTCTCAGAAACACCTTCTGTGACTGAGCGCCCATTACTCAACCATGTGATGTTCACCACAGGAGGAAAGATGTTGTCCACAAGACAGATGAGGGTGTTGGGGTGACCCAGTGTCACGGGAGACTTGGAAAACACTGTGACCTCAGGAACCTCTGTGATGAGGAAACAGCACTGATGTGAAATGTGAACAGCTCTGCCCTGAGCTTCTGCATTACATCCTGGAAGAGCCCTCCTACCAGCATTTCCTCTCCTGCTGGTCAAAGAGGTCTTATTTACCTTTGCTTGGGAGTAACGACACATTGCCTCTGCTTTATTCCTGTGCCCTTCTCTCTGTGGGCATGTTTAATAAAGTAGGAGGTTGATGAGACCTCTCCTAGAAGGATTTAATGAATGGATAATGGAAAGACCCTTGTATTCCATGAGAATATGTGATTTTAGAGATGGGAGATGATAAAACTTCAGCAATTGCCATGAGAAGATCTGGGGACCTCTTGGAAAGAAAATAATGAAACTTGGCATGAAGGGATAGATTGAGTAAAGAGAGGCAGAATGGTGGACACATACCATTGGTAGCAGCGGTAGAGTTGGAGCGTTTAATCAGGATGTTCAAGTTGTGTTTTCCCACAGCCAAGTTTCTCAGTGCACCCTGCGGGTCAAAACTTCTAAATTTGCTGAACAGAGGCAACTGCCAGACGGTCTCCTTCCTCTCCAGGTCCACATAGAACTCCTCGTCTCCATCAAATTCATGGGTGTACTGGCCAGAGGGACCATAAGACTGGTACAGGTTTACACCGTAAGACGCAACGTGGTCAGCTGATGAGTGAAGATGACAAGCAGGAAGGCGGAGAACAGGGGAAGAAAGAACCTTAATACACAAAATGATGGAAGAAACTGACATTCAAATATTAAGGGCTTCCTCTTTGGCACAGTCCGTGGACATTTCCAGCCCCTGCTTCCTCCCCTCTTCGTGTTGGTAGTTGTCCAGTTAAAAGCGCGCTTTCTTTCCCACTCTAGTGTGCGCTACACAAGGGCAGAATATTGCATGTCCAATTTTTACTATGTCCTGAGTGCCTGGCACATCATGGACTTGTTATTAAATAATGTAAATGAACAAAAGAAGGAATGAATTAGTTATCATAGTATTTAGCTTTCTTAGTCATAGATTAGGTTTACTTCTCTCTGCTTCCTAAGATTTATCTTTCACTTAATTCTTTCATGAGTTAATAACAAATTGAGTATACTTCCTTTCCTCTCAGGACTGGCTTAGAACAGGACACTCTACACAGAGATCTTTCTTTTTTTTAAAGAAGGAAGTGCATACAGGATCTTATTAATTTAAAATAATGTCTGCTAACAATTGTAGGGTATAAGAAAGAGTATAATAAGAGTGGTAATAACATTACTGTTAAAATATATAACAATAACATATAATATATAACAATAAATATATAAGAAATAAACAATGCTTCCTTCTAAGGTCTCTGTTTTGTTAATAGTAATGATCCTTGGAGGAGAGCAACTGATTTCTTCTGAAATGAAAAGTGGAAGCTCTACTAGGTTTTGGATTTCTGTCATTCCCCCCACCTTTTCCCACCTTTTTTTCCTTTGAAGGAGGTTACTAAATGTCTACAGCATTCTGACTCAACATTTATATTCACTTGAGGACTCAGGTAAATTAAACCCTTTTTCCTCTAATGGGCAGTGTGCTTGTCTGAGGATGCCAGAGCAGAATGGCAGCCATGCAGTACAACTCCAGCCAAATGAGCCAAACTGGACATTCTTGTCAAGACATGTGTAAGCCTTTTACCATCGTAGCTTTCCTTCCTTCCCCACTTTCTGAGCATCCACAAGTGTCAGACATAGCAGGGGATGTGTAAAACACCAATCAGGCATGGTCTACTATTAAGGAACAAACTGAACAGTGGAAGAGTCAGGTAGGTAAGCGAGCAGATTACAATGTACTGTAGTAAGTTCTGTGAGGAGGATATCGACAGTCTTACAGTCCAACATCCTTCACAAGTATCTGCCAAGCAAACCAAACTACATTATCCTTTCATGTTCCCTGGTCTTTGCAGTGGTCTGTTGTTTTTTCCCTGAAATGAAATTATCTTTTAGGACTTTCTGGAGAAATCCAAAAATCCATCCTTGAGGTTTCTGCTTAAGTTAACAACTTTGTAGTTGTTAAGGCCTCTCATCAACATGTTTTTGACCACGTTATGACCTCCAACTCCTCCATCTCAACATCTGGCCGTCCAAGTTTGTCTGTTCCTCTTCCAGCTCACCTTCTGCCCTATCCAGTATAACTGCCCCGGATGGTCTTAACAGAGCCTCCAACAAAGCCTCCTTATCCTTGCAATAAACTTTGATTCTTTGTTCAAACATAAATATATATGGAATATATGCAATCCTTCTTTTCATCTGGTCACCCTGCTGGCCCAGTTGGAACCAAGTCACTTGTATATTTCAGCCTCTGCTGAGTCCACTGCCTGCTCAGCAATGGCCTTCTGCTTTCTTTCACCCCATACAGTTTCCATCACTAGTCTGAGCACCCTCTGCAGGGGAGGCAGCATGACTTTCCATCTTTGAATCCTTAAAACTTAGCTCACTGTGTGCTCAAACATGTGTATTGAATGACAGTTGCTGTATTGGAGGATCACATAGATTTTGGGGAAGATGGACAGGCACACAGGTAGCAGAACCATAGGAAGGCCAGGATCAGCCATGACCAGGGCTGCGTTCTGACTTGTGATCCGCAAGCACTCTTGCTTGTATGGGCCCCTTCTTCCATAAAAATATGGAAAATTATGTTTTATGATTGAATTGGTATAAAGGTAATATAATCTAGGCTGAATTAAAAGTTAAAACATTTTCTTAGGCTCCAAAACTTCATTTTTTTCCTAATTTTAAAAGCAGTTAAAACATTCTCATATGGCTTTACAGTATGGAGGCTCCCCTGCACTGTCCACATTGTGCCTAATGGATGAGCTGAGCCTGACCAGGGCACTCTGGTGTGAGGTTGAAGAAAGAAAATTTGGAACAAAGAAGCCAAGTGCTCTGGAGAAGCCGGTGAAACTTCCACTACCAAACAAAATCAGAATGGGAGCAGCCACAGTTAATAAGGTTGTGAAAGTTTAGAGTACCTTCCATTTCACTTTCCCTTTAGCTATCCGACTTTTCAACTTTTGTTTTACAAACCCGCTGTCTATCTCTATAAAGGAGCAGGGAGCCAGAGATGGATCCTGAAAAGGAAGAGGGAGAAGGGAATGCATGAAGAGAGGTGGAAAGAGATGGATGACAAAGACAGAAGAGACTAATAATTATAAGGGACCAAATAATTGGTCTCTTATAAAAAGGAACTGTGCTTCCTTCCTTCCTTCCTTTTTCTTTCTTTTTTCCATCCTTCCTTCTGTTTCTCCTTCCTTCCTTCCTTCCTTCCTTCCTTCCTTCCTTCCTTCCTTCCTTCCTTCCTTCCTTCTTTCCTTCCTTCCTCTCTTTCTTTCCTCTTTCTTTTTGAGACGGGGTCTCTCTCTGTTGCCCTGGCTGGAGTGTAGTGGTGCCATCATGGCTCACTGCAGCTTCCACCTCCTGGACTCAAGTGGTCCTCCCACTGCAGCGTTCTGAGTAGCTGGCACCACAGGCACGCACCACCATGCCTGGTTAATTTTTATTTTTCTTTTTTGTAGAGATGAGGTCTTGCTATATTGCCCAGGCTAGTCTCAAACTCCTGGGCTCAAATGATCCTCCTGCCTCGGCCTCTCAAAGTGGTGGGATTACAGGCATGAGCCACCATGTCTGGACCACTTTTTTTTTTATAGGACTTCATTAGATGAGGTGAAGAACAGGTAATTTGGGTTGATAATTTGATAATAAAATGATTTAATTTACCAAGTTTTTCTGCTATAAATTTTCAATTTTAAAATAAAAGGATTCCTTATTTTGCTAAAGAAAAGAAATGTGAAGCTACACCTGTGATAGAAATATGGAAAAAATTGACATTCATGTTTTCACTATTTATAAAGCTTAGCTACATGCCCATTTTATTTGATTATTTGTGAGGTAACACATATGAGGCAGCTGAGAGTGAGGACCATGTGATAAAATGATTGTTGAAGGCATTCAGCCTGCTGGACTCCTTTACCCACTCCCCACCTGTGCCAGTTCCCATGTGGAAATGTAAGTCTGAGAGAAAGAAAAGGGCATTTTTCTTAATATCTATACAGTATATAATTGATGGAACTATTTACCCCAGGGTCAACTACAGGAGACATACGAAAAGCTTCAAACGTTGTTCAGAGAAATTTGAGAGTGACACTTCACACATTTTTAATAATAAAAAATTCTCCACCAATGGAAATCTCACTCATTTTTGAGGAAATCATGATGGAATGACATAGAGACCTCCAGGCTGTAGTCACTGAATAGAATATAAATAGAATAGCGTCCTTAGTGAACGTCAACATCATAGATAACAAAAAGAGTAGGTTGGGGCTCTGGTTTCCTGAAGGAGGAACAGCCATAATTTTTAGATCTCTTAATACTGAAAGGGCCCTTAGGAAATCTCTAGTTTCTCTGCAAATTGTTTTCTCCCTTTTCCTTCAATTTCCTGTCTTCCAGCTCCAGAGAACATCCCTCACTCATGCACTCACCCACTATGTCTTCACCTCCACAGGGGCTCATCACGGTGGTCAGAGCGAGGGCCCCCAGCAACAGAGCTTTGTTTAGGATCATCATCTTCCCAAGGCAGCCTCAGCAGTTGCCGTTCTGAGCTCTAGAGCAATTGTGAGGACCTCGAGACAAGGAAATCTAAAGATACCCAAACCGAACCCTGTCAGGTCAAGTTTTGGCCAATCAGAAAAATCTCCTCTGATGACACCTCAATTACTAGTTGAAGAGTTTGTATTAAGAGCCCTGGGAGGAGACAGGGCAATCCCCTGGTTGTGATGCAGCCTCTATTCAGAGTGGACTTGAGGAAATGTTCTATGAATAGAGGGAGGACACTAAATTGGAATCTTCTCTTGTGTGTGCATGTCTGCCAGTGGCAAGAGGGGTGGGCATTTATTTCTTTTCTTTATTTTTATTTTTATTTTTTTTGAGACGTAGTCTCACTCTGTCACCCAGGCTGAGGTGCAATGGCATGGTCTAGGCTCACTGCAACCTCTGTCTCCCAGGTTCAAGGGATTCTCCTGCGTCACCCTCCCAAGTAGCTGGGATTACAGGCACCTGCCACCATGCCCGGCTAATTTTTGTATTTTTAGTAGAGATGAAGTTTCACTATGTTGGCCAGGCTGGTCTCGAACTCCTGACCTCAAGTGATCTGCCTGTCTCAGCCTCCCAAAGTGTTAGAATTACAGGCATGAGCCACCATGCCTTGGCCAGGGGTGGGCATTTCTTTTTTTTTTTTTTTTGAGACGGAGTCTCGCTCTGTCACTCAGGCGGGGTGGGCATTTCTGAGCAGCCTCATGGATAGATGAGGTCATCAATTAAATGGCATTCTTCAGGATTTTCTGGGTTACAACCTCCAGGAATTTTTCCCTGAGTCGATTTTCCTCCCTGGCAGTCCCCATCCCCTCCCCTTTCCCTAGCTTCTGTATGTGGGTTAGCTGTTTTTCTTTTTGCTTCCATAGTGCATATGGAATTCTCCAGATGTTAAGTTGACCCCACCTACCTAGGGATCTCTGCTGGTGGTAGCCGAGAAATACCTTTGCTTTTTCTACTTGTATAAATCCAGTTTGGCAAGTTCTTCTCAAGCTCTCAAAAACTCCAGGTGGTTTTCACCAGGGCAATAAACAGAGGTTATAATGTCAGATGGTGTTGTCTATAGTAACTGTATGATATTTTATACAGTTTTTCTTTGCATTGAGTAATGTTTACATTCTGTGTTTTGGTGCTTCTTGAATATATTTAAAGGAAATTTAGGGACACTGATTATATTTCAAATTTGGCAGGCTCAATTACTCTAAGAATTGTTTAAAAAAATTAAGAATGTCAAGTCAAAACTTGAGGGTAGAATAAGGAGAATTGCACCGACTTAGAAAAATGGTTTTCTTTTCTTAAACTACCAGATCTTTTAAAATTTGTTATCCTACCATATTAAAATTCCAAATATTTGCAAGGGACTAGGGATTGAGCTAAAGTTAGTCGTTAGAGCGAAACTTGTTATTTTTTTTCAGATGCATCTATTTTCTGTATGTAATAGAAAACATGAGTTAATGGAACTTCTATTTAGCATCACTCTGTCCTTGCTAAATGGCCTTTTGAGATTCTCAGCACTATGCTTTACCTCCCACTGGCAGAAACTGTTAAAAAAAAAAAAAAAAAAAAAAAAGGTGAAACAAAAAAAGTGTCCTGACACCTGACAGCTGCCGGGATGCGATTAACAAGGCCTCGGGGTTGCTAGGAGCTAGCCTGGCACTCCCAGGTGGTTTTGGTTCTCCTGTTGAAGATAAGGGATTTCATAGAACATCAGAATCAGACGGGTACTCTGTGAGCACAGTGGATTGAGACAGAACACCAGAATGCTCAGTCATCACGTCTGAACCCAGACAAAACATGAATATTGTCCAAACCACAAAAATGACCAGGCACATCTCTCTCGGGAGTGATTGCTGCTTCTTTACCAATCACATCTGTGGCCTCAGGATGGTCTTCCGTCCCTCTAGGTAGGATTTATGAAGCTACCCAATCATAGCATTGCCACCCAACCCTCCACTTTCTGTCAGAACCCAATTAAAAGCAAAATCCCTCTTTCTTAAATCCTCCCCAAAATCACCTAAAACAAGCACAAACCTTACAATTGACTAATGGTCAATTTTGTGTGTCAGCTAGACTGTGGTCTCCAGTTATCAGATCAAACACTAATAATCTAGATGTTGCTGTGAAGATATTTTGTAGATGTCATTGAAGTTCATAATCAGTTGACTTTAAGAATTTATCCTAGAAAAACTGGGTGAGCTTAATCTAAGCTGTTGAAAAGCCTTAAGAGCAGAGCTGAGGTTTCTCTGAGGAAACAGAAATTCCACTCTGGACAGCGTGTCAGCCTGTGCTGAGAGTTCCAGCCTGCCCTTCCTGACAACTACCTCCCAGTGGATCTCTGACTTGCTTAGCCCACCACTGCGGATGCACAAATTAATTCCTTGCATCGTTCTCTTAATATATGTATTCTCCTGGTTCTACTTCTTTGGTTCCAACAATCTCTTACTGAGGGGCTGCACGATTCTCATGTTGAGTTTTATCCATCATTGCAATGAACAATAAAGCTGACTCGTTTATTCAAAGGTATGCTACTGCTGGTCTTTGGCTAGAGGCATTTGAGGTACCTCATTAGGCAGTTGTGAGGAATATACATATACTGTACCTGGAGTAAAAAGTTCCTAGGACTCTTTATATCTATATACTTGTCATATTTTAATATCATCCTCATTTTCCAAGGAGGACATTAAAGCCCAGAGAGTTGAAGGACTTTTTCCAGGGTCACACAGCTGGTAAGTAGTAAAGATGAGATGCCATGGGGCAAGCCATGGATCCTTGTGAGGAGTGATAGGCGAGTGTCTCCTTCTGTGTGAATTCAGAATCCAGTGCCTTAACATGGTTAGGAGAGATATTTGACCCTATAGGTGGCTTTATTCTTTCTACTCCTGCCATTGTGAATGAAGAGGGTTTTTGAGGTCCCATTTGAGATATGCTCCCTTTACCACTCAATATCCTTCTTGCTGTGTAGCAAATAACACATTCTTATCTTTTTTCCTGTATCCAGACTTATCTGCTATGTATCTCATGGAAATTCCTTAGGATTTTGGCGAATGAACAAAATATTTTGCAATGGTACTCCAGAATTTCACCTATTAACATTACAGTTTAAATATCTTAGCTCCAGTTAAGAAGTTAGGGTGTTAAACGTGGGATTAGAATTGTATCTTGGATGGGAAGTTGAGGGTGCTGTTTCAGATCTCACATCCTGTGAGGTAAAGGGAAAGTCCAAGCAAGGCAAAGTCATTGAAGAGCTAATAGATGCCCTTTCTATTTTTAACCTAGTTTTGTCTCTCTCCTCTTCCTGCTTCATCCAGCCATAACACAGTGAACCTTGTTCCAGCTGCTTCTGTCTTCAGGTCATAATTTTAATGTAAGGTAAAATAATAAGTAAATGAAACTCAGAAGAACAGTATACCATTTTAACGAAAACTAATTTGTTATCTTTGTGTAGTAGAAAGAGAAAAGGCCCTCTTTATAGATTAATAGTGGGAATAAAATTTGGAGTTCAAAATAGTACTTTGTCCAATAATTTTCTTAGAAAGCACTTATTGACACGCCATTGATTCCATAACCAAATAGCAATGGGATGTGCCATCATAATTGACATCATTAAGAGCCCTCTAAGAAATTAGGTAGAATTTATGTTAGTTCTAATAAACAGTTATAACATTCTCCAAGACTCTGTATATTTTAAAATTGTTTTAGTCTGACTTTATGCACTGGTGAAGTTTTACTCTGAAGGCCAACACTTCTATCTTGCAGTAGTTAAAGGTGCTTCACAACAATAACAGAATCTAGTGTAGCGAAGTCAAAAGAATATAGATTTTGTAATAAGATAAATATGTATTCCATGCTGCTTTTTATTTTATCAGCTGCAGCACCTTGGGCAAGTCACTCAAAATACCTGAGCCTTAAGGTTATTTTCTATAAAACAGAAGGAAAATTATTAGATGACATTTAATATGGTAAAATGAAATGATAGATAAGTACAATTATAAAGTTAAATACAAACCAGTGTCTGACACATAGCAACTATTCCCGAGTGGTAGCTGCTACATAAAGACAAATATTAATAATGATAATGATAATAACATCATGCTTTGGGCTGGGAAAGCCTATCAATTTTTCCTTATTCATTTAACCTTCTCCCTGTGGTACTCCAGACATGTGGGAGCCTGTGAGCCACAGAAGCAGTCAGACGTTGCTGAAAAACGAAATTTTTTTGAAGACTGTTGTATCTGTCAGATTTTTCTATGTAACAAAGTACTCCAAAACTTAATGACTTCAAACAATGGTTTAGTATCTTCTCATGATTCTGTAAAACAGCAAATTGTGCTCAGCCCACCTGAGTGGTCTTTATGTACTGGGCAGTTTCAGCTTTTCTCAGGTGGGCTCCCTCACATCTCTGTAGCATCAATAGGTTTGGCAGGGATAGGGGGCCTGTCTCCATCCATGTGGGCTCATTATCCTGCAGGCCGGCTGAGGCTTGTCACAGGTGCTGGAAAGCTCTCCTGTGCAAGATAGAAACAGCAGGTGTCTTGAGCTGAAACTTAAAACTCACAACATCACTTCCACTACATTCTATTATTCAAAGCAAGTCATAGTACTAGCTCACATCAAGAGGTGGGTTAATAGATTGCATTTCTTGACAAAATGGGCTACAAAGAATTTGTAGCTATTTTTGCAACTTATAAATATCGCCTGGCTTTTGGCAATATGTAAATGAATTTGGTGTGTGAGCATTGGAGAGCCCTCATATTTAAAATAAATTCTTAAAATAAATTCCACCCAATCACCTACCAGTCAAGATCTTACCTTTATTAATCTGCTTTAAAAACACAGTGAAACTTTCTGAAAGGAGACTTGAACTAAGAACTGTTGAATTCCAATATGAATAAGGTGCTACAATTGATTCTTACAAAAAAACTGTATGGAGTTTTACAGATGAAAATACAGAAATGTGGAGAATTGTAAGTGATCCCTTATGACTGCCAAGCTCATATTCTGATACAAAGTCCTGTATGCTGATATCCAGTTACATGGTCTCCCACAATCATAAAATTAATGAAGCAGAAGAAACTTATAAAAACAATTATTTGTTATTTAATATCATTTACACCAATTACGTCAGCAACAACTCCTATGTGTATGAACTAGTTGCTTTAAATAACTCACTTGAATAAACTGTACAATACAAAATAATATGAGGAGGCTGGGCACGGTGGCTCACGCCTGTAATCCCAGCATTTTGGGGGGCC